ATGGGGGGTATGCTGGGGGTAAGGGAAAGGGGTGGGAGGGGGGAGAATAGGGGAACCCGTGGCTGATATGTAGAACTGAATGGTATTGTAAAATAAAATATATAATAATAAAAAAAAGAGAAAATAAAGCATGTGAATAAAAAAAAAGAAAGAAAAAAAAGAAATAGAGCAGCATCACATTACACGGTCTGAAAAAAAATAGGAGGCAGTACTCCTAGGTCTATGGAACTTCACTCTTGACAGGATTCAGTAGTTCATGTCCTCAAAGAAAAATAGGAAAATGTGCTGTGCCAACTTGCCAAATGACTTTGAGGAAAACACAGGTTCTCTAAACGACTTAGAAATGATTCACAACAAGTCATAGGTCAGCGCTATTGGCTGGGAAGCCATCTTAGTGTTTGATGGCACAGCACTTCTTGATTTGCACCACTTACCTCCTCACATTCGGGCAGCTCTGGGTACCAGGTTCCATTCTCTGAACAAGTGATACTTTGGGAACCTAGCATGGCAAAGCCAAAGTTACACTGGACGGTGACACTTTCAGATTCAACATATTGATCTTTATTGGCAGACAGCAATCCATTCCTTATCTCTGGTTTCTGGCACAAAGCTATAATGAAAACATGTTTTAGATAATTGTCTGAGGAGAAAAACATAATAGTCTGCAGCAAAGAGAAACAACTGATCTTGTGTGTAGCTTATTCTGCTTTCCATTCATTTTGTTTTTGCAAAATATTGATGAGCATTTTTCTTGAGCATAACAGTCTATGTATACTATATGACTTTGACTCAAGTCTCATGATTCTCCTGCTAAGTGAGTCTATTATTTTCCCATTTTGTGAAGAAGAAAACTCAGATACAAAGAAGGTAAGAACTTTTTCCATGGCTATAATATGTTTAAATAACATGACAGGATATTTGTAACAGTGTATATGACACCAGATTCTCTCTTGACACATTAACTCTTGCTGTAAATAGTTCTGCAAGACTCTAATCATGAAGTTTTGATCTTCTGTGAACAGAGAGGACAATTATGCCAAATAAATCACAAATTACTATGAATATAGTTATACTAATATTACATGAACGTAACCTAAGACCTAATCCTGACTCTTCCTGCTCCCTATAACTAATTGGCACTGTGTTTTCTCAACACACCACATCTACATCATGGTAGGTGGAGCCTTGGCAAAAGTTCTGAGGGCAAAACCTGTCACTCTGTTTGAAATTAGCCCAACAGAGACTGTGCTGATACCAGAACAAGTTCTGTTAAATTTTTTACAGGCCCACAGGTGTGATTATAATATGTTTTGCTTCTATAATATTTCTTAAAACATATATAAGAAACTGAGAACGTGAGCTGCTCAAGAAGGCTCATACTGTGACTGTGAGGAAGAAGCAGAAGGAATTAATATCGTGCATGCGTATTTTTCTATGGTTTTGTATGGAATATCATCCATTTATATTAGTTATTTAAAATAAGCAAAATTGACTCTACCAGAGACCATGCTGACTGCAAGACGTCCTCCAAACTCCCTCACTATCTCAGCATCCTCCCACCCTATCCCCAGTCCAGCATTCTCCTAGCTGCCTTGCCACAGCCTCCAACTGGGGCAAAGACTCCCCTCTCTATCAGATACCGTACAGACTGAAGCAAGAAGTCCAGGTAAGCTGCCAGCTAGCCAAACTCCCCTACTCACCCTCTTGGTGTCTCCCCACTCTATCCCCAATGATAAGCCTTTCTAATCACTGTGTTCCATCCCCCAACTGGGGAAGAGACTCCCTGCTCTACCAGAGACCACAGTTGCTGCCAGAAGTCCAGCCTCCACTCCAGCCCCTGCTCAACCACAGGCCACATTTACCAGAAGACAAGAGAAGAAATAGAAACCAAGAAAGAAAACATCCATCCAACAAGGACTAACTCAGAAATTGTCACCTAGACCTACTACAATCACCCCAACCCCAGATGCCTAGATGTCAGAACACAGTCAATAACAGCCAAGCAGTATGTCATGACCAGAGCCCAGCTATCCTATTACAGCAAGCCCTAAATACTCCAACACAGCTCAAGCACAGGGAAAAGGACCTGAAAACAAACTTTATGAAGATTATTGAGGTCCTTAAAAAGGAAATGAATAAATCCCTTAAAGAAAACCAGGGAAAAACAAACAAACAGTTTAAGGAAATGAATAAAACTGTTCAAGACGTGAAAATGGAAATGGAAGCAATAAAGAAAATATAAAATGAGGGAATTCTGGAAATGGAAAATCTAGGTAAGTGAACAGGAACCACGGATGCAAGCATCACCAACAGACTATAAGACATGGAAGAGAGAATCCCAGGCATAGAATATACAGTAGAAGAAATAGATACATCGGTCAAAGAAAATGTTAAATCTAAAAAGTTCCTGACACAAAACATCTGGGAAATCTGGGGCACTATGTAAAGACCAAGTCTAAGAATAATAGGAATAGAAGAAGGAGAAGAATCCCAGTTCAAAGGCCCATAAAATATTTTCAACAAAATCATAGAAGAAAAATTTCCTAACTTTAAGAAAGATGCCTATAAAGGTACAAGAAGCTTATGGAACACCAAATAGATTAGACCAGAAAAGGAAATCCCCTTGCTACATAATAAAATACTAGATATTCAGAACAAAGAAGGAATACTAAAAGCTGCAAGAGAAAAAGAGCAAGTAATATATAATGGCAGACCTATTAGAATTACATCTGACTTCTCAATGGAGACTCTAAAAGCCAGAAGGACCTGGACAGATGTCCTACAGACTCTAAGAGAAAACAGATGCAAGCCCAGATTATGATACCCAGCAAAACTTTCAATCATCATAGATGGAGAAAACAAGATATTTCATAATAAAGTCAAATTTCAACAATACCTATCCACAAATCCAGCCCTACAGAGGGTACTAGAAGGAAAACTCCAACCTGAGGAGGATAACTACACACTGGAAGCCATGGGAAATAATCTCACACCAGCAAAACAAAAAAGAGAGAGAGAGAGAGAGAAGCACACACACACACACACACACACACACACACACACACACTCACTCACTCACTCACTCACTCACTCACTCACTCACTCACTCATATACCATCATCAACAACAGCAAAAAAAAGAAAAAACACCCCAGGAATTGACAGTCATTGGTCATTGATATCTCTTGATATTAATGGGTTAAATTCCCCAATAAAAAGTCACAGACTAACAGAGTAGATGTGAAAACAGGATCCATCCTTCTCCTATATATACAAGAGACACACCTCAATATCAAAGATAGACATTACCTCAGAGTAAATGGTTGGAAAAAAATTTTCAAGCAAATGGGCCTAAGAAACAAGTTGATGTAGCCCTTCTAATATCTAACAAAATAGACTTCAAACCAAAATTAATCAAGAAGGATAGGGAAGGACTTATCAAAGGAAAAATCCAAGATGGTATTTCAATTCTTAATATCTATGCCCTAAATGCAAGGGAACCCAATTTTGTGAAAGAAACATTACTAAAGCTTAAATCACACACTGACCTCCACACATTGATAGTGAGAGATTTCAATACCCCACTCTCACCAACAGATAGGTCACCCAGACATAAAATAAACAGAAAAACACTGGAGTTAGCAGATGTTATCAACAAAATGGACCTAACAGATATCTACAGAACATTTTACCAAAACACGAAATAATATACCTTTTTCTCAGCACTTCATGAAACTTTCTCCAAAATTGACCACATACTGTGCCACAAAAAAAATCAAAACAGATACAAGAAAATTGAAATAACCCCCCTGGATCATATCAGATCACCACATATTAAAGCTGGATTTCAATAACAAGATAAACAACAGAAAGCCTACAAACTCATGGAAACTGAACAACTCTACTCAGTGACTAGTGGTCAAGGCAAAAATTTTAAAAAAAATTAAAGAGTTTCTAGAATTCAATGAAAATGAATACACAACACACCCAATCTTATGGGACACAGTGAAAGCTGTTCCAAAAGGAAAGTTCATAGCTCTA